CCCACGTTTAAGAGACCGATCCATTTTAATCGCATCATATCCGTATACTGGGCTTAAATGTCACTTACGCGAAGGCATAGATATTTGTACTGGATGCTAGTGAGGAGGTCGAACTACACAGTGTTTCAAAAGTGCCTGTGCACGTGACTTTATCACAAGTGCACAAGGTCTTTTGAAACACTGTTTAGAAGTAAATACGGATAAAAATAAATACATGCTTATGTCTCAGCAAAAGAATATAGGTGATAATTCTAAGAGTCCACGACATGTTAGTGGATGATAGAATGATATTAAAATGAATTTTAAAAGAGTTTGTGTGCGATAATGTGGACTGGATTCGACTGACATCGGACGGGAACCAGTGAGAATAATGCGGGGATTTTCATGACTATCTGAGCTATTATTGGCTTTTTAAGAAGGGCTGTGCTCCGTGGAGTGAGATACTTTGGAAATGCCACCTCTCTCCATTTGTAACGTTATTTTTTTTAAAGAGGGACTTTGTAAAAGAAATTTCCTGTATTCTAATTTCTGATTCATTTCCCGTGCTATTACCTAATTTTCGTACAAAGTACTACAACCTATTAGCATCCTAGAATTGTTTGCAATGATTCTTGAATGGACAACTTTGGTGCAAATGGTTAAACATGTTTCGGGAAACACGTGAGAAAATCGAACATAGATACAAAACTATTCCAGAAAACAAAATATGAATGAACGAGGTAAGGACAAGAGAAATGTAGACAACCTACAGATTTATATGATTTGAGGTTTTTATCCCCCTGATGATGGAGGCAGTATGACCTCTGAAACGTTGGTAAACATCGACCAGACTACACAGCGCAACAACCCAGAAGACGGAAATCTTCAATCTACAGATTTTGTAACGAAACTGAAAATCTACTTTCATACTGTCGAAAGGAAACGTGGTGATTTATTGTTTACATAAAAGTATTGAAACTGTAATTGCAAGTAGTTGTTACACAAAATTACTCTTTACTTACTAAGACGGATTTGTTGCTGATACTGCAGTGCGCTAGGCCTACAGAAATATATGCATCCTGAGAAGGGAATTTAATTTGTTGTACAACTGATCCTGACATATATACCGTCAATATTGCTTTAACGCCATATAAACTTGCCTGTGCGTTCAGATTCAGGCCAAGTCAACCAACAAACTCAATATATGTGTGCACCACTTAACAGCGATATATCGATCTCTTCCACAGTTTCTGGCATCTCCGAATGTGGAGCCACATTCTAGTACAGTAATCCATCCCCAAAGTTTATCATGCCTTGTTAAGCGTCCTCTTATTTTAAAAATCAAAACTGTTGGAATGAAAATGTTCAAGCGACATGTGTGGTTATTTGTAAGTGTAACTGATTATTTACCTCACTCTGGTATTACGGAATCCAAAAATTAATCGCCATGATACAGTTCTAACAGTGGGAATCTATACAAACCGTATCATGAAAATGCGTGCAACCGCAAACAGTTTCTTTGGGATGTATTTTAATATTACATGCCTGCAATTATAAGTTAACCTTCGCTGCTATGTTTCCTCATAAAAATGTAACTTCTTTCTGTGTGTCCGCGCTATCTAAGCATATTCCAGCTTATTTCAGTCCCCCACTTTTTGGGTACTGTAAAATCTCTCAATATATGTATGTACTTTTTCAATTTTTTATTTAGTTTATCTAAACTACATTCAGATCGTGTTATAACTCAAGCTCCTAGACCCTGGTTTGTCACTGCAGAGACTCGGGTTCATTCTCGGGAGATTTCAAGCGGGATTCGTGGTGGACCAAGTGTTACTGGAGCAGGTTTTTCTTAGATTTCCCCGTCTATTCACTGCTGATAATCACCATTCCTTTCCATTCCATTAATTCATACTCATATATCACCGCCCCACGAGGTGCGCGATAGCCCTTATTCAACAGCAAATTATCGTACCATCGGTCCTCAGTTGAGTACTTAATTTCTGATCCGGTACTTGAATGTTGTCGAAGTAAGATTAGATTAATTTTTAGTAAATTCAGACATTTCTCTCATAATTTTGGCTTCAGACTCTTTCAGTTTTTGATTCTTCGTCAGATAATAGGTCACGTTTCGTAATAATTCTTAACAAAGGGCTAATATAAGATATTGCACTTTTAAAGAAGTTACTGATTTTTATGTAAACGCACGCACGCAACAAACCTTTAGTATGTAATATAAATTTGTGTATAATTTTTGTAGAGCACGATGCACTCTCAGAATAACGTGGTATATTTGTGAATATTTTGTTATAATATGCACCATTTCATCATGTCGTTTTGCAGAAACCTTGTCACGACGGCATGCAAAATCGGCTACCTCCTACGCTCCGAAGAAAAGCGGGTCAACTCGATTATTTTTCGTCTTTGAAAGAAAGTGGCTCAATATGTTCGTTCTTTCCTTTTACTCAGGGTTTTGTTGGATTTGTAAATAAACAGTACTATTGTAAAAAACCATTGTCCCTAAATAAATATGTGTGAATGTCAACATTTGTTAAAAAACTTCCCAATAACCTGAAATGCAAATCTGTTGAGTCTCTTGCCATCCGTGGACGATGGACTCCTTTATAACGAGTAACAATAGAATATGAACATACAAGAAAAATGTCAAAATTGAAAATAAATCGTATGTGTCTTCAGAAAGAAGAAAATACCCTGAATTAAGTGTTCTGCACCTAGCCGATCAAGTCTCGCAGTTATCTGTTGGTGTCTACTGAATCTGTTCCAGTGGGAGATTTACTTTACCCAGTTCCACCATAAAAATATTGTAATGATGAACTTCTGTCATGTGTATTTAAGAACGTACGAAGCTTCAGCTTTGTTACATTATGTTATTGGCATTTTTCGTATAGTGAGTAATGCAAACTACTTGATTTACAGAATTAAGAAAAATAGTTGCAGAGAATTATTTATACTGTCAATAATAAATGTTGACCTCATGTAGCATCCCTGCTCAAAAGTGTAATATTATTGTGAGTAGCGTGTGAACCATGTACTATAAAAACATGGATTTGCAAGTTGTAAACGCTGTAATTGTGACGTTAAACATACTTATTGTAATTATAACGAAGTGTTCATGAAATGTAAATAATATTCTGAGATAGTGATGATGATAATAATTCGACCCCGCCAGTCCAAAAAAAAGTTCTCTGTCATTTCTTGTGAATACCAGACCAGGTCATGACCTCTTTTTCTCTATCCTATGCAGTTCGCAATTCATCACCACCTTATCAACAGCAGTTTCCGTTGGCCACGAAGTATGAGTATTACGTTAACCGAAATTGCTTGAAATAAATCGTTTGAGTTGTTCTATGACAGCTCAGACGGACATTAAACCAGTGTTTCATTTGTCAGGCTGTTACACGGGGCTTGTCAGAATTACACTCGCGCTGTGGCATTATAATGCACTCTAAACGACTGTGTTCTGTCTGTTCCAGAGTCTCGTGGATTTTGCCACTGCTACACCGCTTCAAGATGAATGCGTAACACATGTTCCTATAGAGATTGTCTCCGAACTTCTAGTCGAGGTACGTTTATAATGTAATTGGTGATTTTGCCTGTGGAAATCATTAGGGTGATTGTGTGATGTCGGGTAACACACCAAGGCGATGCCTTTACATGTTACGTTTGTGAGAAAATTGTATGTCCATATTTTTTAAAAATCTAAACTGGGAAACATTTCTAAGTAACGAAGATGGCTGTGTTCTGGGTTATAGCTCCTTGTAGTCTGGTGGAAGTTTACCGACGTTTCAGAGGTCGTTCCTATTTCCATCATCACGACGATGATATGCTGAAACGTTGGTAAACATCTACCGTCTACAAAGACTACAATCCTCGAACTCATTGCCGTGAGAACCTCGAATTCTGTTTCCATGTAACTTTAATGAGAATGAACAATCTGTTCCTTACACTTAACCAACGAAATGATTTCGTTCCTCCGTCATTAATTGTGTTGCGTGAGTGGAAAGTTGTACTGTAATTGGAGAGATTGCTTGTATGTGATTGGTCCTGGTGTTAATTTAGTACAGATATAATTTCTGAAGCTGCTTCTGTACTCATGCTGACAGCAAGTAGAGACTATTCTAAACTGCCTCAAGATATTTGATCCTTTTTGTTTCATCCTCCTAACTCTGAGATATTTTTGAATATTTTTCAGTAGTCCAAGTACAAAAGGTTAATTAGTTTTCAGCCATGTTCTTAATGTGTTAACAGGAGGGCCTGTGGTCCAGTCGGGCCAGCAGTGAGGAGCTTATCACCATGATTGCACCTCTGCTGGACAACAACCCTCCCACCCCAGAGATGTGCCATTTCTTCTCCAATCACTGTGTGTTACATCCTCGCTCTCCCATCGTGGCCGACAAGTTGACTCCTATAGCATATCGAATCCTCAAACGCAGTGTGGTATGTTTAGTCTCATATCATCTATTTACAGAGTAATTACATTTAGAAAATGCTTTGTTCAGAGGTAATATTAATGATTTTCAGGTTACATACATTTAATTCTAATACAGAAATGAAATTACTCTAATAACCTTGAACTGACAAATTGGCACATTGGAATGTAATTTTGTAAAATAAGTAAGCTTCAAAGGACTTTGTTAAAACTAATATCTGACTGCTTTAAAGTAAAGCTGTCCCACTTTAAGCCATGTAGGCGTTTGGGGGAAGAAGAGGTATAGCTCCTACTCATTCTTGAACACAGCACTAGATGGGGGTGAGTGGTCAGCATCATGCCCCGGCCATGCTTTATTCCTGGGAAAGGACCCTGGTACCCATTGGATTTGAAATTGTTCTGATAATGGTATATTTCAGAATTAAGCAATTACGTGCTGGATATATATTTATATGTTGTAACATCTTAAAAAAGGAAATATGTATTTGGTTCTAGAATTTATTAATCAGTGACACATTTGTGCTAGAAATTTAAGATACCTTAAATTGTAATTGTGTTCTTCATTCATTACTGTCATGTTTAAGTAAATAAGGCTGTCTAATAAGACCATTCATTAACACTTTTCCTGTTTTATTTGTTTTGTTATGGTCAGATGTTGGCAAGAGGATTCCATAAATTATAGTTTTCTTCAAATAATTACTATTCTCACCATTTTTGTGTCTTGGAGTTGGCTTAAAGATAGTAGCAGGCTTGGAGTTCTTTATCATGCCATGAACTACTTTCTTCAAAGATTAAAATACACAGCTCCATGTAAAACAATTATTTTTCTTTCTAGTCTTGTACCCTTTATAGTATTTAGAGTTCCAGCCCTTCTTCCAGGACACCAAGTGTCCTGTCCATATTCATACAGCCAGACTTTCGTACTTCATTTCACAAACTGGCTCCCCTCTGAAATAAAGGAAGCTAATTGTATCTCTCAAACGCTGAGAAGTACCAACAAAATCAACCATCAAAATAATGAAAGCAATGTGAAGTGCAACAGACACAGTTAACAATAATATAAAATTATTCATAAATATTTATTACACATAAAATAAAACTGTACATAAACAGCATCTGAATCTGAGGCAGAGTACACAAGGATGATATTTCTTTAAAGGAAACAAATACCAATGTCATTTTTTTATAAATATGGTTTAGAATATTATTAGCGCCAATATACATTTTTCTTGCTCCTTCTTACATATTCAATTTTAAAATATTTTTCTAGGTCATTGTGCTTAACATAGTTTATGGTGCAAACATATGTGGCATTTAATTCAAAATAATGTTAAGTTTCTACTCATGTAGTGTCACAGATAAGACGAGAGCTACAGTAAATTTTTAAAGGAAATATATACTATAATCTGTGTCCCATTAGTGTTTTCACTTCCAGATTTCTCAAACATAAATACAGGTTATGTATGTGTTGTTCCAGGACTTTAGTAAATCACAGCATATGCGACATTTTGTGCAGGATTATATTCGGGCTCTATATTCTCAAAATGCAGGAGAAGTTGTCATTAAAAAATTTGTCTCAAGGTAAGAAATATACTCATTATTATAATTTCTTATTTATGTATTCAATTAAAATTAAGGGAGATTAAAATCTCTTAAAGATTCTGTTCCATTAATTGTTTAATTAAAAAAATTATACAAGAACAAATTAATGCAAGCCCATATTGGTGCTTTCTTCTTCTAAATCTATTAGTTGCTTTGTTTAAAATACCCTGTAAGATAATTTGTTGTAACATTGAACATTACTGGCATTGTTCCAAATCATTTGTTTGAAGTTACCATGCTAACTGTAATAAGTTTAATTTGAATTCATTGTGACCTGATGTTATGAGACAAGTCAATTTTAGGTTGTTAAGCATAGATCATGACATTTAATATTCCTATGTCATATTGTGTAAGATACAGAAAAGGTAAAGATAAATTTATGTGGCCAAGTAGTACATGGCATGTTAACTGTTAGAATGTCTTGTTATGATCATTAATGTAAATTTCATCGTACAGTAAATGTTATGAAACGTAATGAAGTTCTTAAAATAGCCATTGGCAATAGATTAGTTGGAACATAAAATTGAATGAACTACATCACAGTTTTGTTGAGAGTATTATCTGAGGGCAGCAGCTTTCCTCTAGAGTTGTACATGGGCACCACATGGTTCAAATCTCTGGCTATCCCGACTGAGTATTTCTTTAGTTTTCCTCAGTCTCTATAGTATGTGGTGGGTTAGTACTTTAAAGTAGAACTTGACTGTCTCCTTCCAGTTCCCTACCATTCAAAATAATGTTCCCCCATATTATTTGATGCTATATGATCTGTACAGTTAAAACAAAGCCTTTAAAAATATAAGAAACAATCACTTGATCTGACTTTGTCCTGTAAGAAGGAGAGTGGTAAGGGTTGACTACTGTCTGATTTCCAAGGAACCCTGTAACAGCAGGAGCAGTCACTGTATAATTTAAACCCCTTTTCCTATCATGTTTATTGTTGGTATGTCACCATGTGATATCAAACACCCCTTCTGTGCATGTGGTATTGTCCTGCAGTGTCCATGGTCCTGGCAGTGGGTGCCCACATCCCCGTGTTCTGCCAAATCTTGTGGCTGTGTGCCTGGCTGCCATATTTTCCAACTTTGAGGAGCGGCGTATGTTAGCAAGACTAAATGAAACACCCAACTCAGAGAAAGACTTGAGCGAAGGAACAGAGGAAACAACCCATGAAAAAGAACTTCAGTGTTATGTTACAGTGTTACTGTTTGTGTGAGTATGAAATTGTTTGTTATTTCAATGTCATTTTATTTTGCATTATAGTGACTAATTTTTTATGGAATCTACTTGATGTCTATTTATGGATTTTCCCTTCCTTCACAAAATGTCTAGGATGAACCAAAAAATGTGTTTCTGTGACTAAATTTGATTAGAAAGGAAATGTCATGAATGAAGCTAAAGCTGAATCAGAACACATGATTTTTTTTCCTGTGTTGTAAATCAACTGTTGAATTATCAAGCATGTGCATGAGGCATAGTAAGAACCGACTGGGACAAGTGACAGAGCACTTACTTAAAGGGAGGTCATTTCAAATAGGGACTGGCTAATACCGATGCCACACATTCTGTATGATGGTGTGGCCTTAGCTGAAATAAGATTTCGTTATCTGGGTTCATAGTTTTATGAAACCAGGCGACTATCTCACGGCTGAACTATGCAAAGTTTTGCACTTTGTTTGGTGTGCAAAACTGCTAGAGAACTAAACTAACAGACATGGATGCACACAAGTGGTCATGGTGCATGCAAAATCTGTCAATTGCCTACATCTACCATCTGTTGATTTATTGGTTGATTGATTGATTGATTCATTTATTCATTGTAATTGCATGCATTTCCTACGAGGTACCTCAACTGTTATATTATCAACTCCTTCTCTTTATTTTTTGGAACATTTCTTTTATTTGTGTATCTGGTAATGATCATGTCTTTACATTTGTAATTGATTGCTTCTGTTTTACATAATTGTCCTAAACTGATCTTATTTTACCAGGGAACATGTTGTGCATAACGACAAGATGTGGGATGAAACAAAACTATTGTGATTTGAGGTTCTGGGTTATAACACCAATTGGACCTGTAGACAGAGCTGTATTTTGAAGAAAAATACTGTTTCCATCTTCAGGGCTAAGACAAAACTATTCCTTTTATCTCCATTACAGTTAAATTGTTGATGAGACATCTTTCTGTTTATCAAATAGGAAAGGAGTCTAATAGAAACTGAATATTATAAATCTCTGTAATTAATTGAAGTAGTAGTCTATAACTATTTTCTTAATATTGATAATGGTGAATTTATGGGTAAATAATAAACTTAAGTAACTCTGTGTTAGTAGAAGCTAAAGGTTTAGTGTTGCTAATACCAAAGCCTGACATTGGACATGATCCCAAGTCATGTGCATCTAGATATGGATGTGCTGGTACCATAATCCTGTCATGTGAGGTTTCTAGTGACATCTGTGACATGCTACACCCTTCCTGGTCAGTGTTTAATTGTATGTGGTCTTGAGAGACTTGTCACTATATTTTTGCAATTTACAGTTCTGAATATGATGACTGGAGACCTGTATTGGCACAACTTCTGCAGCCCATCCCATTTCCTACTGATGCTCTTGCTCATGAACCATTCATTAGGTAAGTCAATAGTAATGTAAGTTTTAAATTGAATGCGGTATTAGTCAAGAAGCACATTTCACCATGCTATATTATTTTTCTCTAATTAGTAATATATTTAAGTATCATGTATTTCATGTTCTGCATAAGGACACAGAACACTCCCTATGATGTTATGCTTGTAATAATTTAATGATTTATTTTTTACCAGCATTGACACCTTTTATGAATTTTTTTGAATTATATTTCTTAAAATTAATGTTTGATGGTGTAATAATGTGTCTCTGCCATAAATTTGTCCACAAGTTTAATTTTCCAACTTATTGAAAAGATTTAGACAAAATTTGATATTTGGTGGGAGGTTTTTGTTCACCATTTTGAACAAATTTGGTTTGTATCAGTCCATTAATTGAACAATGCAGCTGAGTGGTTAGTATTCCTGCTTTGTATTTGGGAGGTTCTGGGATTAATTATGTTAATCATCCTATAAGTCAGTGCTATAAATAGTCATTTAATAAACTGCAAATAAATGAAGAAACAAATAGATCAGTTCACTATGTACATGATTATGAAGTAATATAACCATTGTACAGCTTTCAGATGAGAGCCACTCTCACCTGAAAACCGAAGGTATACATTGAACTCCAGCCGTGAAAATCTATGGACAAGAACCATTTCTATTGTTTTCTTTGTGTTTGATAATGTTTAACTGTGCTTTTGTTTCGACAGGAGTTTCCGACCTGTGATCGAGTGTATTGGAACTGATGCAAGATGCTCATCACATCAAATGGTGCAGGCTGTCCGCAAAGGGAAGGAAGGCTGGTTCCATGTCTACTGTCCATCAAGTCCTGTCTGTACTGATGATGGTCAAACCTGGGGATATATGGTAAGAATTTTAGGCTACTCCACATCTTTAACAACAAATTATTTTGCAGTTAGGAATATATTTTTGTTACTGGTATGACTTTAGTTTAGTGTTAATGAAGAATAACCTTTTGTACATGGAAAGTTTTAAATGTCTAGAACATATTTATATTACTTTATAGTAATTTCAGTAATAATATTACACACTTCTTTACTGAAAAATGTATTTACTTGTTAAGAAAAGCTAATGTAAATTTACTCATTACAAACTGCTTCTGAAAGGATATTTTCTTTAAATTAAACAATTTTAATGTTTGCCAGAGTGCCAAGTATCTTGCATATCTACAAGTAAATGCGAAAATTCCCTGTTCCTGAAATTTAAATTTGAACTTATTTTTCTTCTTGAAGACTACTTTTTTTTAACTGTGGACAGACTGAGTACGTTAGCTGCTTCTGACTTATGTTTCAAATATGCCCAGTGCAAGTCCTGGCCATTATATAGAGTGAGGTTTTCACGTTTTCTTCAGCCCTTTCAGTGAATGTCAACAGAGTACCTTCAAACAGACCATGGTCATTTCCTCCCAAATCCTTTCCATTTCATAATATTTGTTCTGTCATTGTGTTCAACACCGAATGAAACCTCTGCAGCTGGTGAATGCCAGGTTAAGTAGAAAACAGGTCATTAGTGTCTCCTTCCAGATCCTTATCCACTTACCAGTTATGGTCTTGTTCCTAGCGTATTCAGTACATTGTAATATCCGCAGATGAAGCAATATTTTTTGACAGCCTCAGAAACAAGTTAGATTTGAGGTTCTGTCACTGGCAAGTATGAAGATAACTGTCTTCTGGGTTGTTTCACTGTATAGTCTGGTAGGACTTACTGACATTTTAGAGATGTTTGCTATTTCCATCATTAGGGCAGTGAGTGATGATGGAGGCAGCAACACCTCCGAAACATCAGTAAACTTCTACAAGACTGCATAGTCCAATAACCTAGAATACAGCCATCTCCAATCTAAGAAACAGCTTATCAGTATCTTCAGATGTTACAGTATCCTAAAATAGCTTGCAAATAAACCATGTGAAGTATAATTGCTTCAGGAAGAATATAACATCCCTTGTTTTTCAACAGCTGAAGACACTATTGCATTGTTGTTGTCGCTGCAAGTGGTTCTTGTCACAGCTGACAAAGAAACAGCTTGGAGCTTGTCTGTTGCTTGCACTGCGGGGTCATTCAGCTGCCCAGGAGGCACTCTGCCTCATGTTGGAGTGGGAACTTATAGAGCAAGAGGATCAGAAAATGCAGCTTGTTTCCACACTACAGAGCACAGCCTCGGGTCGCGATAATTATGCAGCTCTCTGTCAGAGACAGTTGCACCTTCGTGAACTGGTAAGAATTCATACTGCAGGTGTTTCAAATGAGGTGTCAAAATTTAATAATTGTTTGCTGAAAGAAGTTACGTGTTAGAGCTAAACGTGTATAGATCAGTTGTGTAGTTCTTCTAAGTTCTGCTTTTGCATATCAATTTGAGGTATGACAGTAATAAATCATGATCAAATTCACACAAAATTTGAGCACAGATCGAGTATGTGGAATGCTTGGTATTTTTAAGTTAAAAATCTTAGCCTTCCTGTTCATCAATTGAGATTGAAAATATGTACTTTTTGAAGTAAACTGAAATTCCAAAGCCATTCTGTATGCCACTTAGGTCATTGTTGCACTTATGTGTTAGGTGATTGTGGCATCTGTGGTCACATTTGCATTAATGTGATCCAACGTCATTGCACAACAATGGGTACTATAGGATACCATTGTTCAACAGTGAGTTCAACAATGGGACATCTGGTCTCATTATTGCTAAAACTGTGAGACAGACAGACACGGATGGATTTTTCTGGATCATGCTGCAGTGTGAAGAATGACTAAACATTAACAGATTACAATATATAGAACATACCAAGAGAAGAAGTATGTCAATAAGATGGCAAAGAGAGACAAAAACACATTTTTATTGTTTTGTATATTTCCATGGGAATATAACTTTTGTTGGTGAGAAGTTATGACAGCTAACTTTGAGTTGTCCAGAGAAGGAAGAGGAGGTTTCCATTATTTTTGCTGTTGAACATCAAATCTGTTCAGACCACAGAAGGTTACATTCATAAGCAAGATATTTTGCATAACTGAAACTGTGAAATATCAGTATTTCAAACACTTACATTCATATTGATTTGTTTTGTTGGAATACTATAGACCTTTGTCATACAGAAGTCCTGGGAAATGCTGAATTTGGAAAAATGTGTGTCAAAACTCAGGAGACTTAGAAACTGATTGCTCATCATTTCAGCCTTAAACTCTTTGGAGTCAACTAATTCCATTATCATAATATATTTCCTCAAGAGATCCTTTAACATTTTCTGTCAAGTGGTCTATCTTCACAAACCTTGGGCACTAAAATTTTAATGCAGTGCTTATTTGCTTCTTATACATCTGAATAGGCTATATATTTTTTTCCATAAAAGTGATGTGTGAACAGTTTTTAAGCTGAGTTGAGTTTGAACTGAACAGTATTAAAATTCTCGAGTTTTGAGTTGAATTTGAGTATAAATTATTAGCCTAACTGTACAAGATGGAATGTACTTATGGTAAGTGTTTAACATTACCATTTCTCCCCATTTCTCAGACAGTTCAACTCTCTCATATTATGCTTAGAATTTTCAGGCATTTTACATATGCTATTCCATCATAACAAAAACCACATTTTGCATGAAGTCACCAAAAGCAAGCATTTACTAACTGAAAAAGAGAGACTATTACATATTATATTTGTTTGGTGTTCAAGGATCTGTGAGTTTGAATAATGAGAACGCAGTTACAATTCTAAAAGTAGTTATACCAAAATTACCCTGTTGATGTGTCTGTTATAGCAACAAAAAGGAGGACCTCGAAAGTTGACATTGCCAAGCCGATCAACGGATGCTGACATTGCTCGGCTGCTGAGTTGTGGTTCATTCGGCAACCTTGAAGTCCTTAGCCTTGCTTTCACACATGTGACAAGTGCTTGTGCTGAACAGCTTATAAAGTTACCATCCCTCAAGTATCTGAATCTGTGGGCTACACAGGTACTGTCTTCAGGCTTTCATGGCTGGAATTTGTTGTATAACTTTGGCTTTTAGGGGTAAGCTGTGTTCATGCAGCTTATGCACGAGAACTGAAGTCATGAACAGGTGCTGATTTTTAAATTGGGAAACAGTTAGATAGATGTGGACTATTTTTATATGTACATTTTATTGAATTTTATAATTGTGGCTATATTTTTGCGGAGTGTATGAAGCAAATGAGGATGTTCCTGACTATGTGCATGTTACATCTCTGAAACTATTACTGGATTCCAATTAAATTTATTTCTTTCAGTATCAGTTTCCTCTGCTCTTTCTCTCTTTATATAACTAATACATTTATACATCCCTATTAGATTTGTTTCTGACTCTTGTCAGTGGTGGGCTTTTCCACTGAGTTATATGTATTTGCTTTCAGTTTAGTGATACTGGCCTGTTGATGATTTCTGAACACCTGCATAATCTACAAGTCTTGAATTTGTGTGAAACTCCAGTTTCTGATAAGGGAATTACAGCTTTATCTTGTAAGTATTGCACAAATTGTGGTGACTGAACCAGTGGCATTAGAACCTTTTCTGGAAGAGGTATGGAGATAAGTTATTGATCATTTCAGGGTTCACATGCAATGGCAAATTCGGAAATTGTCAAAGCAGAAGAAAGACGGTGTGTTTCAAGATTCAGTTTTCTGATATGTTGTCATTTGTTTTTTCAATTAGTCACTATCATGAAAAATAATTTGTTCAATTTGTAAATAGGTAACCAACTGATAGTAGAACCTGAAAATTTAACAGTGCTTATAACAACAATATTCAAAGGCATGCTGTTTTGAGTACATTAACATATCAAAGGTCTTCTTCACACCACATCGCTGTCATTGTTGCACTAATGTGATCTGAGGTCATTGTTAAAATGTGGGTAATGTTTTCACTAGCATAATCCGAAGTAATTGTTGCACAACAGTTGGTGACAGACAAATATGGGCAGGCCCATAAGGTATTCTTTTTTATGTCTGAGCATAAAGAACACCTAAAAATCACAATTGAACATAATTGTGAGCTACCTACATCCATTTCTCATCCTTAAAACCCATCTCCTAAGATATATCTTAATGTTACCCCATCTCCTTGGTCTTCCAACAAGTCTCTCCACTGTCTTTTCCATTCAAGCTACCTGTCCAGTCCATCGCAGTCTCATGAGTTTTGCTATAATTCAGTTCAATTCTTTATTATAATAATTTCTGTTCAGTTCTTTTTTATAGCGATAGTAATTCAGTTCTATATTTTAATGTACTAACTCAATACCTATAGGAACCAATTACAGAGTCAGCACAAAGAGAAATACAAAAAACAATAAACAGTACATACAAATAGTAAAACATTCTAGTAACCAGTACATAATGATGCTGAAGGTAGCAAAATACAAATAGTAGTAAAATTCTAGGAGGGAACTTTATGTGCAGGTAGTCTAAAAATACCAGTAATTGTTTAGCTGAGGAATGTTATTGTACCAGCATTTGGCAGCAGGGGCAAGTTAAACAATAGTATGGATTCAAACTGTACACATGAACTGTCATATAAATTGTCAGTTGTAGCCACAACTACTGTGTGAATGTTTTATAGTGGTTAAATCATTGTATCTTGATTGCACTTTTATGCAGAAGTGGCACCACAAATATAATATTGGCCCTACAATAACTTTTCTCTAATCTTATTTCTTTACTTCTCTGTTTTAAATGCTTCTGTGTGTGAGCACTGAGAAAACAGGAAGATGGTGGAGAATTCAGCGCTGAGGTTGATATTAATGAATATTCTTTTTACAGCCATGACAAACCTGCGTAAGTTAAACTTGAACAGCACCAAATTATCAGCACAAACATTTGAAGTTCTGAAACAAAAATTACCAGCACTACAGGAATTTGATGTTCGCTATACAGAAGCATGGTAAGTTGCAAGAATATCACCAGAAACGAAGAAGTTTGTGTTATTACTGCAACAAAACTGTGTTCAAGATTCTAGTGTAAGGTTACATTTTGATATAAGTTCATGATATTCATGCATATGCCATGTGTATGTTTAATCTCACTGATACACCAGAGGACAGCAGGAAGTAACTACAGTACAGTAACACACTGCATTCATATTGTAAGGCAAGTGGTTCTCTAGATAAATTGCACATGTGATAATAACATTTAAAATTTGAATATAATAATAATATAATAGTGTAAACACTATGATTAGGTTACTCCTTAATACCAGATTTACAAGGGCACATATCTTTGTACGGATAAATTATTTATTCATCACATAGGAACTTTTGAACATGATGAACATTGTGATGTACGTTTGTCCAGAGGCGGCTGTCCAAATATGAATAATATCAGAATGCACAAAACATGCTGAAGAGATGTCTGATTCCTGTGTGAAGTATTTCTGCTATGAGGTGTGTTGATCTCAGAATGTTAATAAACTAGCCCAAAGTGTTACTGTTTGAAAGGATGTGTGTGTAACCATAAAACCACAAATAGAAATAATTTTAGAATGGATAAGTGTTTCTTTTAGTATATTTCAGAATAGTTTATTCAGATTAATCTGATATAGAAATTCTAAATTTATTTTCTATTACCAGTTACATATAACATTGCTGAAGAATCCTACATTTCTCATAAAAATGGAGATTAATATGTAGGTTTGCCCAGTTTATGAATATTTACATTGTTGATTCTATTTCACCACATGACAAACCTCAACATACAAACTTGTCTGAGTTTCAGTTCTTCAAATTTTATTAGTTTTCAGTGTTGGGCGAAAATAGAAGAAAAACTAAAGAGGCCTGTGTGAAGTTTGTAATTGTGCTTGATTTTAATGGAAGAAGTTTTTGACTATATGATTAGAACTGTTTGTGGTTTTATGGTAAATTAAACAAGATACCATCAATAACGTCAGTGAAGGGACAGTTTACATACTATAAAGGAAGCAAGAACTTTTTATGGGTTTGTGAGTTAATAGTTCTATTATTTTCTGTTTCTTAGTTGAAATTCTTTTTGCATACCAGTCACATATTTCCAAACAAGTTAATTTGTATCATGTAAACTACATAATTATTCAGGAAACACAATTTTGACATTTCCACCCATTGCTTGGTTTTATTATGTTGCTGATAATTGACCTAAGTGAATATTGCAGTTATTTGTTATATTAGTGTACCATTTTTCCTGCATACATGTGCTCAATTTATATAAGTCAATTTCGTAATATATTCAAGCAGATTTGAATAGAACTAAATTCTAGGATAAAAGGCTTGTGAAACAGCATGGAGTTAGGGAAATGGGGTTATAAGCAAAGTAATAAAACAGTACTACGTGTTTGGCCACGAGCACTTTTAATTCAGGGCAAATGACGACTGTGAAATGTTGAAAAAATTTCCACTGGGATGTAGTGTGATCTTGTTCCGTTATTTAACAAACAGTATCAAGAGTCTTATTCATGGAAGCATGGTTGAAAATTACAAACTTTATTATACAATTGCATTTAAGCCTTAATTTTGAAGACTATGGCCACAATTTTATCCCATTGTTTTTAATGAGTTGCATGGTATTACTTATTAAATGATGTTCTATGATATACTTGTAATTGTAATTTTAGTCATTATTGTTTTCTTTGTACCATTATTTTATATTATATAAAGCTATCATATAAACTACATATGAAAATTATATTTAATATGGTCCAGCTTTGCCACATTTATTTCAGTTGTATTAATGATGAATTATACAATACTTATGTATATGAATATTACTATTTTCTTATGTTTATTATTAATTACTATACTTAAATTTCCAATAGACAATTGTAACATTACTATTGAATGTGAGGCTGTACAGTGTATACTGAAGATATATTATTTAAATGTTTATTTATTGAATGCATGTTCTTAAAGAAGGACTGAGATATGTCCTCTTCCTTGAAGACTGTTTGTTGTCTTGTCAATTCTTACCAGTGAATAAAATTATTTTAAAGCTTGAACGCATGTTTGATTAAAATTGTGTGAAGATCTGTTGTAATAATTATTGTGAGGACAGAATGAGAAGTACCTTAAATAATGAACAGCTCATATGAATTAAGACAGGGTTTACAATACAAAGCTATAAACACAATGAGCAAAATATTCTTCAAAAAATTAAGTTCTGAGAAAAAATTCCTAACATTATAATATTATATAGGATTTCTTAAGTGTTCAAGGTATCATTAGTTTGGTTTGTGTTTTGGATGGGAAATTTTGATTCTGAGGTGGATACAAATTATCCTAAATAGGGTTCTTTATTGTTTTCTTGATTCCCTCTTAGGAAATGCCAATAATATATGTCATTTACATTTGTGTATGTTACAACCCCATTGTCTTGTGGAAGGTCTGAAATTTTCCCTACCCTTAGGGAAACTGACATGCTATGTGGATTATCATTATAGTGTGTTGTAATATATAAAAACCATTAAAATATGCTGTATTTTGAAATGGGCAGCAGCAACTATATATTCTGTCAGATATATATAAATTTATGATATTTGTAACAAGAATTTGGACTCTGAAGAAACTACTGGTAAAGATTTTGATTCATGTTATAGTCACCATATTTCAATTGTCTGGTTGTAAGTCTGTTGTATATTATAAAATGAATTACAAAAATGTTTGTGCGCATACATGTTAGATAACAAATACTTTATACAATGTTATTCTCTTTTCTAACGCCATGGAACAGAGTCCTTCTTGAGAAGCTAACAGTTGCTTATCTAGTCAGAAAATGTCCTACCATATCTTCAGTTAGATGAATCAACTGAGATTCTTATGCCATTGTTATTTTTTTTCTAAAGTATTTATTTTTGTTAAAAAGAGGTTCTACAAGGGACAGTAGACATTACATATTTTTCAGTTGTTTTTGTGATTTTTATTCCTATTTTCAAAACTAGAATCATATGGTAAATGATTTCCCTATAAGTACATTAGAGTACAGATTTCTGCAAGTGCTTTTTGAGGTTGCTGCTCAAGATGACCAAATGTTTGTATTCATTTTAAGAATGGCTATTATGAATACCCACTTACTTTATGAATACATACTAGCAGATAAAACCCCTTCACAGCAAAAGTCACAGGTCTACTTTGTATTTTATGAAGAGTAAGATTGGCCTTTGTTCATTCAAACACAAAAAGAAGATATTTCTGAGCAAAAGCAATATTAAGGATGTTTTAAATTTAATATAACTGTCAAGGAACATCTATTTCAGATGGGATGAAGTGCCACTTGCAGTGTGAGCAGAATGACGCATATATTTGATGTTTTAAAATAACACAGTTGCTAGAACGCAGTTCATTTCAGTTTAGAGAGAAGGTGAAATGCACAAGAAAGGAAACACATGAAATAATGTGTGTAATACCAAACTTTTAGATCAAATAAAAAAGAACACAGTTTGCACAAAGTAAAATATAAAAGCTAGTAAAAAGTATAAGTTATTTTAGAAATTTCCCCTTGTTCTGAACAAGACAGGCATTACTGTCTACAGGTTTAGGAAACCAAACATTTATATGGATTGTGTGACTAGTCTGATGCCCTCATATTTAGTTTAAATCCATCATGTTCATGCTGTACTTGGAAACCAGTTAAACATGTTCTCCAGATTCAGCCAAATTATGATTTGCATAAAATTGGGTCCGCTCAGTATTTGTGGGAAAAAGGTTTTGCTCTTGATACACAGACATGACACTTCTCACTGACTTCAGTCTACACTCTGCTGCTAAATTATTAATTAGTCACTCATGTTTCATTAATCCAATTGCATATCAAAGAATTTTTCTTTAAAAGCACCTTTGTACAGTACACTGTATAAGTACATTGTGATTCATTCAGCATAAGATTTGTAGTATGTTTCTTGTATTTTTTCTTTTATGGTTACATAGTACAGAACTGCCTGCAGCAGGGAAGTAGAAAACCAGGCGCTACTACTGCGGAGTAAAAATAGAAAATTAAACAAACTGACCGCGTACAGAAAAAAAAAGAAAGCACGAGGACGACTGGTGTTTGATCACTGACTCCCCAATCTGCGGGCCTCGTGCCCTGGGCGGCACGTAACAGAATGCACGAAGTAAAATTCTGTTTGGAAAGAAAGTCTCAGCTTAATTGGGCCTGAGTGGGGGTAGCGAGATCTCGCGTACGAGAAGCGGCTTCAGTGCAGCGAGAGCTGTTATAACAACTTTTGGCTAAGTGTGACAGGAGGCTGTAAGTGTCAAACGCGCAGGTAGCTAACGGGCGTGCAAAAAGATTAGTTTCATCAGCCGTGACCAGCCAACTGGTTGACTCCGGACTTGGGGACGTGTGGCAGATAATTCAGTCAATGACTCCTCCGAGTACACAGGGGATGGCAGTTTCAGAGAAATACACGAGTCAAACCCACCGGCTTTATGGATGAGGATGAGAGAATGTCTGGACGTAGACGGTGAAGACGATGAACCAACTATCAAGACCTGTCACCGGAAAACTTTCACCTCAACACTGTTGTAACCAGATAAAACAAATACTTGCAACGAAGACCTTCTGGCAATGAGAATTCAGTTACCATCCAATTCCGATATTTTGTGCAGCAGTTACTAAAATCTGCAACTATTAGTACCTAAGGCCAGGTTGAAGGAAAGAGAGGACTAGGAAGAAGATTGATACAGCTAACCGACGACCTTAAACAAGGAAAGAAGATGACGTTCCAGGAATTAAAGCGAGAAGCCGAGAATAGGGACAACTGGAGAGCTCTTTTTGGGCAGAGCAATGGACCTGTCGTAAGACAGAACACTTAATAAAATAGTACAGAACCTCTGTTTCATTGTGAGACTGAGCTCATTGGCTGATGCTATCCATGTGTGAGAGAATAAAATACAGACTGTATTTATCATCTAGGAGAGTGTTCTTTATTGTTTTATTTTTGATACTGATGCCTCCAACTTAGTACCAATGTTATGATAATGTTCTCCTTTGTTAGGGCTATAGCACATCTCATGGGATGGTGATAGACTAGTACCAGTTAATGGTAGATTGTTGATTACCAAGGGAAATTTAAAAAAAAATAACTTGCTCCTGTGGCACTTTGTTCACCGAAGATTGACCCTTGCTTTCAGAGATAAGAAGCTGGTATCTAGCTCCCTGTGCTGTGGAATGGCCATATAAACAACACAAATGGTATGAAGTTCTTAATGTTACTGATCTTTTCTGTTGGGCAAAAAAATAATCTTCAGTTGTGTAAAGGTAGTAAATATGTTCATTATACGAAAGACTGCAGTATGTTGGTGTCTTTTCCTAACCTCAGCTGTCCAACTTATATTCTTTCCACTGATTAAGTACATTTCACTTTGAATTTTGTTTTTATTCTGGTAACATTTTTTAATGCTAAAGTTTTTGGAGAAACTGTGATTGTTACTAAGGAATTGTCTCCACTTTCAAGGTATAAGGGAATATAGATGAGTAAACCAGTTTGCATACCATTCAAGCTCACTCACTTTTACCATAAATGTGGAATGAGATCAACTG